AGCTAGTACATACAATACCTAAAGCTACTAGTACGCATAGCGTTTCGGGCAAGGTGAGGTGGGGGAAAAACACTTGGACTAAAACTTAATAGTAATTGAGCTTAAAGTATAAATTGCGTTGAAAAAAAAGATAAAAATGGGGGGGGGGGGAACATGATAGAAAATAGCCAATATACAAGTTGGTCAGCAAAGAGCATTGTTTGAAAATAGTAAGACATGGGTTAACATTTAGGGGTAAGGTAGGTTACATGGAGTTAATTAGGTAGTACTTAGTTTTCATCTTAAACTGGTTGAGAGAGGTACAGCCTTTGACACTTTGACATGATTGGGAAGGTCATTCCACATCCTGGGCCCCTTGATTTGTAGAGCATTTCTATTTTGATTAAGTCGTACTCTTGGAATATCAAATAGATATTTGTTTCTGGCGTGGTGCCCATGGGTTCTGTTACAACCTTCTAAGAAGCTTTTAAAGTCGGGATTGCCATTACAATTTAGAGTTTTAAATATATAGAGTACACATGAGAGGATGTGCAGTGACTTAACACTTTCGCGTTCCGGGCAGGCGCGCGGTTGACATAGGGGTCATGTGCCTTGGCGTGCGGGTAAGCGCGTGGAGACACCAAAATGTGTATACTCGTTCCAGCTTTCTCACCTTAATTCTCGTGCTACGTCGCTCGTTTTGGTATCATTGTGTTCGCAATTAAATTTCCTACAGGTGTGTATAAATATAACGTCCAAAAGCCTAGCGTGACTCCCAACAGCAAAGCCTAAACTCGGCAAAAGCGCACAAAATCAGTAACATGTGCATACTCGTTCCATTTTTCTCACCTTAATTCTCGTGCTACGTCGCTCGTTGTACAAGTCGTACTCTTGGAATATCAAATAGATATTTGTTTCTGGCGTGGTGCCCATGGGTTCTGTTACAACCTTCTAAGAAGCTTTTAAAGTCGAGATTGACATTACAATTCAGAGTTTTAAATATATAGAGTACACATGAGAGGATGTGCAGTAACTTAATATCTAACATATTCAGAGATTTGAGTAAGGGTACCGAGTGCTGTCTGGGGCCAGAGTTAGATATTGTTCTAATAGAAGCTTTGTGTCGGGTAATTAGAGGACATAAAGGATTTTGGGTAGTAGAACCCCAAGCACAAATACTATAGTTGAGATAAGGATAGATGAGAGAGTAATAGAGCGTCACCAGGCGGGCGAGGTACATAATATCTGATCTTAGAAAGAATGCCAACAGTTTTAGAATTTTTTCTAAAAATTTTTTTTTTTTTTTTTAGAATTTTAGAATTTTCCGTGTAGAGCAGGTTGTGCTCCAGGCATGATGTTTGCCTCCACAATTTGGACATTTGGCTGTTGTGGTCTGGTTTGCCTTGTGCTTGGCTATACAGTCTTTGGTTGGATGCCTCAGGCTGCACACTCCGCGTTTCTCCTGTCCAGTGCAGCGTGATTGATGGCGGCCGTATTTCTGACACCTGAAGCAGCGCAGGGGTTCTGGGATATATGGTCTCTGGTGGTATATTCCCCAATTTCCAAGACTGAATGTTTCCGGCACATGTCCCATGACGGTCACCAGAACCTGACGTGTCGCTACTTTGTCTACTTTTGTGCGGCATCGTTCCGCATTCAGGATTTGCTTGTGTTCTAGTACTGGATCCAGAGGAAAGTCGATTGGGTATCCCAAAAGCGCGACTCTTGTGCGTCTTTCTGAAGGGTCCAGCTTTTCTAAGTATACACGTTTCTCTTGCAGGACTTTTACTTTTTCTAAGTAATTTGCAGTCTGTTGGTCTCGTGATGTCATTATTATTTTTCCTTTCAGGTTGGCTATGATGGAAAGTTTGAGCTCTGGTTGTTCCTTTTCCATTGCCGTTTTACTCCATATGCCGTAGGAAAGTGATCTGTCTGCACTATCATGAATTTTGGAAGATGTGCAGAGTCTGGCGATGTCTGGTGTGAGATGGTGGTGTCCTCTCCTGTCTCATAATGTTGTCCTGTGGCTGGGCTGTGGAGAGAGGTACATTGTCTGACACTGGCTGGTGTGAGACTGGTGGTGTCCTCTCCTGTCTCATAATGTTGTCCTGTGGCTGGGCTGTGGAGAGAGGTACATTGTCTGACACTGTCTGGTGCGAGACTGATGCTGTCCTCTCTAGGTCCATTATGTCTGCTGTCTTGCTGGTAGAAGCACTTGGTGAAGCCTCGATAACAGTTTTCTTCGGTGTCTGCTGCATCTCGGTCCACCGTCCCTCCTCGTTTGAAAGCTGCCTCCATTGCCTCTTCCTATTTGACTTCCCCATGACTCTCCACGTAGTGAGGACCGAATCACTGCCCTACCTAATGCCTGAGACACTCCTAGGACTGGAGAAATTCATTCCCCTCCAACGGAAGTCGTAGAATGATTCCCCCAGGTGGAATCTGGAATACCTAACACTTAAATAAGAGCTCTGGCCTACCTTTCCCTGAAAAGGCTCAGTACACCTTCTAAGGTGTCCCCTTGTGGCGTTGTCCGCAGGGTATCGCCTCGCCCTTCAGGGTAGGACTCTAAGTGACCTGGTCAATGATACGGTCTTAAAAAAAAAAAAAAAAAAATTGTCGAGAGTGCGGTTCGAGAGTTTGGATTGCCATTCAAGCCTGTTTGCATTTGTGTTGCTCACGTGGCCCTACAAAGTGAGGTGATTTGATTAAATAACTATGCCCAAGATTACCACCAAGTGGAGACATCTCCCGTCCACGAGGCTCACCATAGCCCGTGCTTCTTGCCCCGCTCCTGTGCCAGGTAAATTACGGGCTTACCATAGCCCGTGCTTCTTGCCCCGCTCCTGTGCCAGGTAAGTTACGGGCTCACCATAGCCCGTGCTACTTGGAACTTGTTCCGAGTAGCTGAATCTATAACAACAACCACCACCAAGTGCCGTCGGGACGGTGAAATAGCCTCGGGTAATATCGTCTTTTGTACGGTCACGGATGGTCGAGTGGTTAAAGTACAGTGTACACCAGTTGCATTGTACTCCTGGCTGTCCCGGGTTTGAGTAACTTCTGGGGTGTGGAGTTTTCAGTCATATATATATATATATATATATATATATATATATATATATATATATATATATATATATATATATATATATATATATATATATATATATAATACACACACACACACAAGTGAAGGCGGGAGCACTCGCCCAGGGTCGGTAAATGACTGAAGGAAGCTCCCCTTCCCCACCCGGCGGTGGGTGATTTCGGGTGAATTCGTCCAGAGTTTAGTTAATTTATTATGCACCCCATACCCATCCTGTGGCCGGTAATGGAAAGATTACAGAGGCACATAATGGGCTCAGGGACTGAACCCCACCATTTCTTTAGTTAAGGAACATGACACCAATATTATTCCAAACCTTTATACATGTTTTAATTTTGTTAAAGGGAAATAATAATAATTCAGTAATGGGTAATATATATTTTTACCATGTGGCCAGCACAGGTGTACTGAAACAGATCCGATTCACTGTACCAATGATTTCCTTAATTCTTTGAGGCAAAAACACATTCTTAGGTTGTGTCTGTTTTTGTATGATTTCATAGCTACAATAAATGGACCTGTTAAATTGTCAATAATGAAAATAAAGGCAAATTTACAAATAAAATAAAATAATAAATATTATAGAGGTAAAATACATACTAAACAGATAACAGTTGTGATGCTTGTAATAAATAGTGTGAGAACCGTGTACCACCATAGGTCATGCTAAGCTCGTATTTGTTATATGTAAGGGAAGGTTTTAGTCAAGTCATTTGTTATGCACCCCATACCCATCCCGTGAACGGTGGGGTATAGGGTTACAAGGAGCGTAGCGGTGGTGTTGCAACCCGTTCTCGCACTTTCGTATAGTCAATATTGACTTATTAAACATGTGCATATGTGACATACTAATTTATTGTGAATATTTTAGTTTACCTTGAAAAGCTTCATAGAAAACACCGACCTTACCTAACCTTCTTAGTATGTTAAGCATCTTATTGCTGCGTAATTACAATTATTACTTAACCTATTATAGGTATAGGTATTACAATTATTACTTAACCTATTATAGGTATAGGTTAAGTAATAATTGTAATTACGAAGCAATAAGATGCTTATCTTAACATACTAAGAAGGTTAGGTAAGGTCGGTGTTTTCTATGAAGCTTTTCAAGGTAAACTAAAATATTCACAATAAATTAGTATGTCACATATGCACATGTTTAATAAGTCAATATTGACAGAAAGAAAGTGCGAGAACGGGTTGCAAGGTATATTGATCCGCTCCAGTGACAACTGTGCCCAAGATAACCTCCAGTGTACATCCATAGAGATATAATTCTCGTACTGACAGTGTGAGTGGTATGTAAGACCTTATAAATGTCCTGCGACACAATCACTGCTAGAGTCTTCCCGTTTTCTTTCGATAATTACTTAAGTAAAGATATCATTATGAATGCCAAAAACACTGGTAGTGGCTACTTATTTTATATACGAAAATTTAGTGGCTATCTTATTTTTTATACTATAGATTCTGCATGAAAATTGTATATATTGTTGGAGAGTTATAATTGGCATTTATATGATCTTATTCTCAAGTGCTGTCCACCACTTGGGCTGGAAGGTAGAGCGATGGTCTCGCTTCAGGCAGGTCGGCGTTCAATCCCCGACCGTCCAAGTGGTTGGGCACCATTCATCCTCCACCCCCTCCTATCCCAAATCCTTATCCCTTCCAAATGCTATATAGTCGTAATGGCTTAGCGCTTTCCCCCCTGCTAATTCCCTCTCTCCCCTCAAGTGCTGAGCACTTCACACTGTTCTGTTGTGCTGCCCATCAGTAAGGCTGTTACAGCTGCCCGAAATACTCGCCGAATTACTGACAAACTGTACACATTAGTTTGACTTAATTATTTATAAAAGAGCAGAAAACAATTATGTTCATATTCAAAACAAGAATAAATGAAATAAAAGCAGAGTTTTGGAGGGAGTAATCTAAAATTACAAAACAATCAGTAAGACAGTTGAAAGCATAATAAAATAATTAGTTAAACAAAATGACCGCCCAATATATATTACACAACCCATCCTCCTAAAATGATAGGGCTTACAACAGTTATTTGGTAGAACGTCCCAGTGTGTGTTCTGGGACCCACACCAGTCCACGTTTTGACTATTAATTTTGCAGAGGCCTAAAAATCCATAATTTAACATTCCTAGGCCTAGTACAGCACATATGTTATATATGTACTATATTAGCTCATAGGTAGCTTATGGTTGCTTGGATAGGTCAGGGTAGATTAGGTCATGTTCTTTAGGGGCTTCTAGTTAATAATGCTATTTAGGCTAATTCAGTAATACAAAATGTGAACTATTTTGGGCTCCAACAATATATCTTGGTACGTTTGACTAACTAGTTGCTATATGTACAATCATTTTCAGTTGATGGGTTGATATTACACGGGGTTCGAGAACATTCCGCAAACTCAACATTGAAAGTTAATAATGGCACAGGAGATTCCTCTTGTTTTCTATAATTGTTTGATAAACAATGAAGTTCATAAATATTTAGAAAACAATAAACTCGTAAATCTTGTATTCACTTTCTTACAAAGTCTGAGCAAACTTTCTTTCTGTCGAGAATGACCCAACTCAAGGTAAGAGAAAACTTAGTGGCCACGGCAGCTTGTCCTTGAAGGGTACTCCGCCAGGGTAATACTTGTGAATGTTGTTGAAGACATCGATCATCTCCTCAGGGGTGGAGGGACAGGACGGGTACATGGTCTCGCACCGGTCCGGGGAGCCCGTGTACCCCATGTACGCCGCGTGGGTGTACGGGTAGAAGGAGTACTGGGTCATCATCTGATCCAATAATCTGTAAGACAATAAAAGGATATTAGAATAAATCAGCCCATCCTCCTAAAATGAAAGTACTTATAGTAACGATGTGGTCGAAAGTACAAATATATCATGATGGACCACCAGAAATTAGACTTGTAATATTGAATTTGGACAAACAGGATTTTTGGTATCTATGTTGCTAATAAGACCTAACCTAATCATCCTAGGCCTAATACACGCTATCTGAGGCTTAATATAGTACATATATATTCTATACTAGGCCTAAGAATATTTAGGTTCGTTTTTCCGGACTATAAAAAGTACAAAAAGTGACTTGCTGGGGCTCCATTACTGCACATTGATACTTTCAACTACATAATAATAATAATAATAATAATAATAATAATAATAATAATAATAATAATAATAATAATAATAATGTTTATTCATATAAAAGTACATACATACAAAATGAGTTACAAACAGAATGTTGGATTTCTAGATATAACTAGTACATACTAAGCCTAAAGCCACTAATACGAACAGCGTTTTGGGCAAACGAAAAAAGTACTTAAAAAGTACTATCATTTCAAGAGAACGGGGTGAGCAAAATGCTTAATATCTTAGAATATTTATGCTATTTACACATATAGTAACTGTAGTCAAGCTTACATATTGACACTTTTAGAAATTATAATTCAAGAAAAGTGGTAGATTTTTTTGTTTTGTTTTTTGAATGAATGTATACAGTACTGTGTACTAAGGTCGCACTTAAATCGTCAGGCTGCTATCGCGGGGGAGGATACTGCTTGACAGTATTTATGAAGGTGTCCAGCTGCTGGACACCTTTTTTGACCAGAAGATTGGCAGTATTGATGGCTTCAGGGTGGTTACTGCAAGATTCAGGGACTCTTAAAGCTCTTTTAAGGTCGTTGGTTGTTTCACATTCCAGGAGATAGTGAAGTAATGGGTTTTCTGTGATTGTTTGGCAGAAGATACAATTCCTCTGTCGGGGTTCACCAATCTCCCAGTTGTATCTGTAACCTAAACGTAGTCTACACAACCGAGCTGCTATTTTCCTGTGGATTCCTTTTGGGATAATTAATCTGTCTAACTTGGTGGCCTGAAGATACCATTTTGCGGAAGGCGAACCTTCTGCTTCTCTCAGGTGTAGATGGGCTTTATTGAGGTGTGCGAGTTTTTTGATGATGGTGTTTTTTATGTACTCTAGGCTGGGTTGGATTGTATTGTGGATCACTGGATGACGAGTTGCCAATTTAGTAGTTTCATCGTCTTTCTCATTTAATGGGATTCCTTGTACATTTACCTTGACAATTACCTTGACAATTTACCTTGATCATCACGTCACCAACTATGTATACTCTGTCTAAGGGACGTGCTGCCTCGAGTACTTCACTTAAGTATACTATAGTCTCCATTTTTTTTTTTACGCTATGCCGGAAACTTTGTGAGTATTAGTGGCTTTATGTATTTTACTTTTCTTACCTATGAACTCTCCACTGTTCATGTCTCAAATGTATGTGCTATTGTATAAATAGAATTATTATTATTATTATTATTATTATTATTATTATTATTATTATTATTATTATTATTATTATTATTATAGTGTACATTGGGAAGAGTGGACTGAGTAAACTAGAGAGATAAATATTAAATTCCAACTTTAGCGTCATATTATGGTACAAATATCAAGACTAACTGGACTTACCCGAGGAACCTGTTAGATGTGAATCCCCCTAATCCCCCGAGCACGTCATCCAACACGCTCCGCTTCTTCCTCTTGCCAAGTCCACTAAGGAAGCTAAAGAATCCATTTCTCTGGGGCCTTCTTCTTCTAATTGGTCTTCGCCTCAGTAGTGGGGGCCCGTGTTCTCTTCTCACTGTGTTCTGAGCCGGCGTGTCAAGGTTTTCTCGCTGGTTAGGGAATGGGCTTTGAAAGTTAGCTCCTGGGAAAGACTGCAGCGACTGGAAATTGCCTTGTCCAACCTGCATAGGAATGTAGTTTGTTGTAATTATTAAGTATATTTTTAATGATAATATAATTTGTTATTAGTTAATTTGTTGTTATTGACAAAACGATGCAATGGGTTGTATTAGTACAGATTTTGGAGATAAATTGGTACATTCTGGCAAAATCACTATCATTGGGACATAGGCCTTGCATGTAGTATGTCATTTATACACTCTACCTCCTGAGTATTATTAATTTGCATCAGAATGTGTATCACCGCTCCATTCGCTGCTGAGGTTATTAATTGTTTCATAAGATCAGGTCATTTTTGCTCACGCTAAGACTAACGGGAAAATGCTAATCGTGTAATGTCTAAGGTTTCTAAACTATTAACGCTAACTAATTCTGACAACTGAGGAAATATTCACCCACTCCTTATCATTATCATATCAATTATTTTGATAATAACCAAAATGCATATTTTCAAAATGACGCGTTTTATAATGTTGTTTAGAGCCAAACTTTCTGCTCTGTTGGCTTTCTTGCTTTGTGTGTGACGCTCTCCTTCCTCTTATGTTTCTTATTGTCGGGGACAGGAAGCCTGTTTAGCTTATTACGGTCCCACCAGGCAAACGACTGACCATACCTTGAATGCAACAACTGTAAATAGATACCCTAACTCTAGGATATCTATTTACTGATGAACAGTGAACAAAGACATCAGGTACAAGGAAATGAATCCAAACGTCTCCTTTCTCTTCGGGAACCGATCCCGGGATCTTTCGGCTGTGAACACGCTATCTTGAAATCTTGAGGTTATCTTGAGATGATTTCGGGGCTTTAGTGTCCCCGCGGCCCGGTCCTCGACCAGGCCTCCACCCCCAGGAAGCAGCCCGTGACAGCTAACACCCAGGTACCTATTTTACTGCTAGGTAACAGGGGCATAGGCTGAAAGAAACTCTGCCCATTGTTTCTCGCCGGCGCCCGGGATCGAACCCGGGACCACAGGATCACAAGCCCAGCGTGCTGTCCGCTCGGCCGACCGGTTCCTCCATCAGACTGCATTGACAACCATGCTACAGGAGCCACATGAACTACCCAGTCGTCAGCAAAGCCATGGGTGGCCTAACATGCAATACCACTTTGATGTTTGGCGTATTTCACTTTGATGTTTGGCGTATTTTAATTATTCAACCCTCATCTTAACTCAATAATGAATGTTGCAAATAATAGCTAACAGAGGAAACTAGGCTAAACATTTAATTCTAGAATGTTACCTGTCCAGAGGGTGGGGCTTGAAACTGGGGCAGAAATTGCCCAGGGGGAGGTTGAAATTGTGGGCTCTGGAAAGCTGGATTCTGCAATGTTGGATTCTGGAATCCTGGACTTTGGAATCCTGGACTCTGGAATCCTGGACTTTGGAATCCTGGACTCTGGAATCCTGGACCCTGAAATCCCGGATTTTGGAATGCTGGAGGCTGGAACGCAGAAGTTTGCAATCCTGGGTTCTGCAATAATGCATTTTGAGGTCCTTGCTGAAATATAGGGGGTTGTTGAAATCCAGGAAATCCCTGTTGGACCGCTGATGCATCTTGAGCAACTTGTTGAATGGGAGAGTTAATCGCAGGTTGTGGCTGCACCGGTGAGCTGCAAGGATGAGGACGAAAGTTTGTTTAGTTTAGTTCATTTAATATGCACCCCATACCCATGTTGTGGGCGGTAGTGGGAAGGGTTATACAGAGGCACATAATGGGCTCAGGGACTGAACCCCACAATTCATTTAGCTAAGCAAGTTACAATCTTGATGAGCTAGTTACAAAATTCAATGCACATCGTCACATCAGCAGTGGGCTCGAGACCGACCACAAGTACAGCTTCTAATTTAAGCAACTGACATGTGGAGAGCTTGTGTCACGACGAGAGCAACTGAAACTGTGCCGGTGCTCAAGACGATACTGGCAGTGTTACAGGCATGACGATACCTCGTGTATTATAACAACGATACTTCACCTCTGTATTGCACCTCACACCATAAATATAAACAAATATAATGAACATTATGTGTCTGCTACATACATACGAGAATACTCTCAAGGGTATACTTCCCCACAGGACGTGACGTGTGTGTAATAGGCTACAACATGTCAGTAACCATCAAGTGTTGTTTACCTTTTAGCAAACTTCAAAGAAAAAATAAAGTGTATCCCATGGAAACATTACATATCTCGTATTGAATATGCCTGATTTAAGAAAGTATTTGACAATACAGTACATGAAAGTAGAGTACTGTATATAACATATACAGTACTGTATATGACAACACAGTACGTAAAAATAAAGTCTCTTCAATAAAAGACTCATGATTTTCTAGTTTTTCATGCAGTGATTGGTGTTGGAAGGGCAATACTACGTTGCATAGTATACTTTGTTGCAATAGTACTTTAACACAACAGTAAAATGGGTTTTAAACGATTTTTCGCGGGGTCGTATTCCAGGGAACATAGGATTAAGGACTTACCCGGAACGCTACATGTACTATATATAGTGGCTGTACAAGAATGTAACAACTCCTGTATATATAAATAAATAAATAAATAAATAACATACTAACCTTGCTTCTGGTTGTATCTGGGTAGTGGCCATTGAGCACATGAGGCGCTCCAGACACTGGAAGCGGTCGTAGGAGGGGATGGTACTGCGCAGCATGTCATCCACGTTCTCTAAAGCTCTGTAAGTGAACACAAAATTACTGAAATACACAAGTTCCGGAAACATTTGTGTGGCTTGTAATAACTCCACGTGTTGGGTTTAAATAGGGGCTACGGCTGCTTGAAAATGAATAAACAATATTATACGTAGAAAAAGTATTCTAAATGAGAACGTTATTTGATACAAGTGATAGAGTTGAAAGTAGAGTGAATAAAGCAGGACATAAGACAAGCTATATAAAAAAAAGTTTACATTTTGCCCTTAATGTGGAATCTGATCATTCCACAAGGAAGACTTGTATAGTTCCTACTTTTGTGATGTCTATACTTTCCATATATTTTATTTAACAATTAATAGATCAGTTTTGTATTAATCGAGACAAATAGTTGAAAATAAATGTAAAATTAAAGAAGACAAATATTACTACTAAAAATTTTGTATTGAAATGAATTTATAATGTTGTATAATCACTTAGAAATACTACGAATAGTGAGAGATGTTGATCACATTCCTCGTGGTGTGATGACCGATTCCCTTCCATCTCTGGCAATATATTAATGCTTCTACAACTACAAGCGGACGAAATAATAATACAAAAATAAGTTATGTTAGGTTCGTGTTCATGCGTGCGTACACCCGCCTTCATCCACATGCCCCACCTCAACACCAAGTATAAAATACAATAAATGGTCATACAGTGCTTCACGAAATTTATATACAAGTAAAATGATACACCGTATTCCTGCTGTATAGGGACCTCACCCCACCTGTTAAAACGTTATACCAAACAGTGGGGATATGGGTTATAATATTAATATTATTATTATGATATTAAATAGACGCATCTTAGTCGCTCTCAACACTTTGGTTCATGCAACACACAACGTAACTGTTTCAACAGTGTTTCTGTCATACACTATGTAAACAAGTTCTCTTTTTCTTCTATCAAACTGGGTGAGTGAGAGTCGAACAACTGCAGTTTTTATGGAGTTGGTTGTGAAGTGAGACAAGAAGCATAGTGAAGGCTACTTAAGGGTTGATATAGCCCGATGTGAAGCACTATCTTATATCTGAGTAGCTACGTAGAGGACACAAAATAATTGACCAAAAGTTATTTTACTTGATGATAAACTATGCGTGAGAAAAATGTGACTCAGTTTGTACCAGTATGTAAGCAGCAGCATCCTCTATGAAACATATTAAATTAAATTAAAGAATCTTACGTTATCTACACAACATATAAAATTGTGCGATAAAATAATTGTAAATTTAATACCAAAATAAGCCCTTACAAACAGTCATATAATAGTATGTATTCTATTAGTGAACAACATTAATTTAAAAAGTTATTAATAATAATAAAACAGAAACATAATTGTTGAATGTTTTTGTAGTTTATTGATGCAGACTTTTGAGGTCATTAAATCTTGTAAGCATTGTGCATAACATAACACGGTCCAGGAGTTAGACAACAGTGAAGCAAGCTCATACATTTAAGATGTAGGCGACGAGTCACAATAACGTGGCTAAAGTATGTTTACCAGACCACACACTAGAAGGTGAAGGGACGACGACGTTTCGGTCCGTCCTGGACCATTCTCAAGTCGATTGTGACAATCGACTTGAGAATGGTCCAGGACGGACCGAAACGTCGTCGTCCCTTCACCTTCTAGTGTGTGGTCTGGTAAATTTAAGATGTAACACTATCGTTCCACACGTTTTACAACTGTTGGTTAAAGACTGTATTACAGTGTATTAATTTTGTACCCAAATTAATCTAATACGAGCAATATTTTTACGATTTAATCTTTCACAGCGTTTATATTTTGTATTTGGCTGGCTACAGCAGGATGTACTGAAAGAATGTAAGATAATATTTTTAAGCTAGACGATATTCACATGTAGTTGATATATAGACAAAATTAATTACACAACTGTGAATCAGCACTGAACGTTATTCAAAGGTTTTTATTTACTAAGATTTAACGTATAATTTTACTTTAACTATCGATTAAAACTGAATTACGTAATGTTATATAATTCAATTTCTTTCTTTATTATGCACCCCATACCCATCCCGTTTGCAGTTTAATATAATACGAACAATTACATTAATAATTAATTGTGTACAACAATGTAAGAAGTCTTGTACATATAAATAAATAAATAAATAAATAAATAAATAAATAAATAAATAAATAAATAAATAAATAAATAAATAATTAATTAATTAATTAATAAATAAAACAAGGAAGAGAACATGGAGCAGGGGTGCCTATGGTCACATGTTGACCATAACATTGGAATATGAGGTATCACAACGATAAGATGATCTGGATAAATATTAAAATACAAAACAAATGTTTTACAAGATTTTGTAGTGTTTAATTTTTTGTAATGAATTTCAGATTTAGCCGTTCATTGGAAAATATCTGAAAATGGATACGAGTTTGGTTAGTCTAGAGGTCCAAGCCAGTCCCATATTTCATTTGTAAACACATGCAGGCCGTAGACATATGTGTGGAGTACACCTGTAAGAATGCTGGTCAACCTGAAACCTGAGTGAAGCATTAATATGTCAGCAGGGTGCGAGTGTGCCTTGTGGAGCAGCCCCGAGCGCCGCCACCTAACATCTGCATCAAGTATTATTGGGACTTCGTACTAAAAAAAAACAAAGGGGGGGGGGTGAGGGGACGAGTGTGTATGACGCATTTTACAGTTGTTTAGTATCTTTATTTGGGGGGTAGAAATAGCCTAAGCTACTCTATCCCTTTGAGATGTATTTATAGCTTATCTCAATAAACATACTTGAACTTGAACTTGAAGTGTCTTTATTTGAGAACGTAATTTCGCTTACAATGTAGATGGAAATGCATTTTTAGGTAGTTGAAGCAAGAAGTTTCCCGGGGTCCCGGCGGCCCAGCCCGCCCCTACCTACTTGTCATTAGAATGCTACTGTGGAAGACAATAATTTCCGGTCCTTGTGTTAATCAGTGTGGTTGAGCTGGCAGATAAGCAAAGTTACCGTAAATGAGCTTGTTACTTAGTGAGATTTAACTTGCATGCGACATGCTATAAGTAATTTAACTCGTTTATGTACAGGCGTATTTATGCGTCTCAAAATAAATGCGTAAAATTTGGTTTAATCTGTACATGTTAAGTGTACTAGTGTGAGTGTATGTATGGTTGCAAGGAATAAAAACTGACAGAATTCCATCATTGATTGGTCTGAAGCCGTCCAGCAGCTGGCGAGTGACCCTGTGGTGGAGGCTGTCATGGAGCCAGGGTTCCTCTGAGCTCCTCCCTGCATCATCCTCACTGGCTGACTCACGCTCTGAAGAACCTGCAAATAGGTCATCATTAGAGCACCACACAACGGTTACATACCCAAGGAAATTACGTAGTTGTGGACCAAATAAGCCGGCAGCAGCTGAATCTGCTGCTGTTGTTGTTGTTGTTGCAGCTGCTTCTGTTGCTTCCAGTTCTGTTGCTGCTGCTTCTGTTGTTCCTCGTTCTGTTGATTCTGATACTGCAGCTTCAACCAAATCTTCTGAAGGATCATCTAAGCTGTTGCCTGGAATCAATACGTTAACTAGCAGTTGCACTTTTGTGGCCACAGTGTACAAGTACAATAGTAATCAACTTTATATCAGTCTACTTGATGTCAGCCCTTGCTGTTTTTCCTACTTTATTTTATGTATTATAAATAGTTCAGTATATATAACTATTAATAATTCATTGTGTCGGGAGAGAGACAATCAGTTTATACATACAGTACATGTAAGGCTTATATCGAGGTTTCCCTGAGGGTCAAAATACTGCCCCGTACCCAGGATGCAACCTCCTTGGTACCTATTTACTGCTAGGTGGACAGGAGCATTAGGTGATAGGAAACGCATCCAACCATTTCTGTCTCGCTCGGGATTCAAACCCGGAAATCTCGACTGAGAGTCGAGAACGAACTCGACTGTCCCGGGTCCCAAGGGATTAAACAAGTTATACGTATTTTAATATTAGAAACAAATTAAGCAGGTTCTCAGTGTGATATTAACTTGAAATAATGTTAGGCATGAGAGACGTCCTCAGCGTTAGTTAGGTTGGGGAATATGTCACCACTGCCGAGCTGCAGCACAAACAGTCAAGTAGAACCTTATTGACATATCAGACTTAAAACTAGCCTTAAAACTAGCCAGACTAGCCTGTTATCTTCAAGCTTCGTATCGTCCCTCTTGCATAGTCTTTTTAACATCCTTACGGAAAACCTCGTTACCATGACATTTGCAGAAGGGGTTAAATTGCTAAGCTATGCTGATATAGCATTAGTCATTACAGGTCCTTCACTTCTAAATAAAGCACAAGGTGCATTAGATAAAGTAACATCTGAATGCAGCGTTTTAGGGAATTTACCTACTGATAATGATAGAATTTACCTACTTAAAATTATCTGTTAGATTAAGGACCTGCCCGAAACGCTGCGCGTACTAGTGGCTTTACAAGATTGTAAATACTGTACTATGCTATGTATTCTCGCAAACCCAATGTACCTTCTTGTATATATATATAAATAAATAAATAAATAAATAAATAAATAGGGCTAAAAATATCTGCACAGAAGTCTAAGGCAATGAGACTAGGTGGCAACACTCCAGACAGGCACCTACACATTCAAGACATTAACCTTCAGTGGGTTACACAATATCAATATCTCGGAGTGTGGATAGATTCTAAAATGACATTCAACAAGCAAATTCAATATCTGAAGGAGAAAGCAAAATCACGACTGAATATAACGAGAGCAATCACAGGGCCCCGTCTAGGAGCGGGACACAAAGTGTTAAGAATGTTTTACATACACGCCGTTCGTTCCCTGGTTGATTATGCAGCGCCTGCCTTACTCACTCTTTCTCCTGGTCAGTGGACAAACATTGAGGTTATTCAAAACGATGCATTGCGAGTCATAACAGGAGCCTCAAATGAACTAAACTACTGAACCTACGACTAGAAACTAGAAACCATCGACTGAAATAAGGGTAAAAGTGATTGCTACGTGCATGCTGACCAAGATATTGACTAGACTCAGAATCAGTTCACTTAAAGATATAATCACTGGAGTACAAACTCTGGACAGAAGAGCCTCCAATAGCAACAGGTGAACCCATTGTGCGATAAACACCATCAATACATTCGATGTAACAAACACAATCACTGAGAAGGGTGTCGACGAAATACATGCAGACTTTGTTATGCAAGCCCCTTGGGAATCTCCGCCAGCAGACTTTAAGATTATGGTTCTTGAAGGAAAAAAGAACCAGACAAATCCTCATCTGCTACGTAATATTACACAGATGCATATAGAAGTAAACTTGGCATGTGACAGCTTCACATACTTCACGGATGGGTCAGTAGACCAGCAGGGACAAGAAACCGGAGCTGCAGTTAAAGCAGGAAACTGTAAATAGTTGGAGGCTCTCAAATGGATGTTCGACTTTACAAACAGAGATGTTAGCCATTCAAAAGGCTTTGGAACATACTCTTGCTGAACACTGCCAACATGTTATCATACATACAGATTCGAGAACAGCCATTGAAACCTTGCAACAAGAACACATACGTGATAACATCCATCTGATCACAAATGTCATATTAATGCAAACACTCAAAAGGCAAGGCCGGTGGGTAATTATCAACCGGGTGCCAAGTCATGTCAAATCAAATCAAATCAAATGTTTATTCAGGTAAAAGTACATACATAGAGGTTAGTTACAAACATAATGTTGGATTTAAAGATACAGCTAGTACATACAATACCTAAAGCCACTAGTACGCATAGCGTTTTGGGCAAAGTGTTGGAATAATAGGAAATGACATTGTAGACGAAGCTGCAAAACTTCCAACTAAGAGAAGAAATGTTGACATTTACATACCACAGAGTCTATCACAGATTAAGAAAGTAATTAGAAACAGAGCAATGCAAAGGATGTACAGTGACCACAACACAGCAGTTGCAACATCAGGATCTGCGGGTTAATACAAGAATTCAACCAACTACGAACCACTTAGTTTGATGAAAGGGAGCAGTAGAACAACAGAAGTACACTTACATCGCATCAGGCTTGGATACCCATGTGCATGGGAAATAGGCTTAAAGGTTCCGGAAGATGAGAGGAAATGTAGGCACTGTGGAGAAATGCCCGACAGATCACTGGATGTTCAACACAGTGATCCACAGTTACTGAATCTAACACAGTGCACAGTTACAAACCAATTAAGATTTCAACTTAGATTCAACAGAGCAGAAGTTGTTAAACACATGGGACAAAATCTTACTGAAGCGACCATACGAGTCATGAATACTCATACTCCGCCCAAGTAAAACAGAAACAAGCAACACTTTGTGGGCCAGTCAGAGGCTTAGGGCCCGCGCAGGAATATCCCTGCAAAAAAAAAATCAGCCCTTTATAATTAGCCAATCATGAGACCTAACAGGACGTGCCGACTTCCCGTTATTCGTTGTCGGGGACACCTACCCTGTTATTCTTATCGAGTTCCACCTTAGACCAATCCCTGATAACCTTTCCCAGGATGCAACCCACAACAATTGCCTTACTCCCAGATTCCTGTTTACTGTTAGATAAACAGAGGCATCGGGTACAAGGAAATGAAGGTGTAGAGATGCTCGATTTTTCGTGCAGAGATTCAAACGCTGTGACGCGCACCGCGGGGGCGTTTTCTCGAGCAAGACAGGTTTTACTCGGTGGCTGAAAGGTGCAGTACCAGCCAGGCAGCAGTGTATATGCTGCGAGCTGAAACCTTCAGTTTCCCAGCTATGGCAGACACTGCGGCGTCCACGACGCCGCCAACACAATTCAGGATGGGTCTCTCACTCCCGTCGTGGGTACACCATGGTCTCCACGCGGCTTCTTTATTATCAAGGTATTACCACGCCTGTACTTGTGCCTGCCCGGCCGCTTCCCTCTGTGTTTCCCCGAGTTCGGTTTTTGTTGTGCCCACATGCCTTGTATCCACGCCCGGGTTGTGTGCTCAGCGTTCATTGTGTGTTCTTCAATCACGCCTTCATGTTCCCACTCCGGTGCCCCGCACCCATCCCCCCTTTTTCATGGGTGATGCGCTGGCGTCCCCTTTGTCCTTGTTTGGGCACGTTCCCTGCGCCCTCGACGTAACCATCCCCTCTTCCCTTCTTATTTTACTCTTTATAAAATCCTTCCCTCTTTGTTTTCCTTTTCACCTTCTACAGTAACTTTGTATGAGGCTAACGCTGTATTGCCGGATGGGGTGGGGGTGACGGGAATCCGGCTGAGCCCTCCCCCCTCCCCCTTCACTCGAGAAGGTACAGGTTACAGACCATGACACTTTTAAGGGACCTATTTGACAACTCAAGATTCCGTTCAATACTATCTTTATTTACTGCAGCCTTAGCAAGGGCGTCAACTTTATCATGTTCCTGCAGGCCAATGCGAGAAGGAATCCACTACATTTTTATATTTATCCTCTTGCTAAGTATACTTATATATTTATGTCTGGCTTCTGAGACAAGCACGTTATTACTTGATTGCAAACTATTTATTGCTAGTAGTGAGGAAAGGGAGTCGGAAATAATTAAGCTGTCTACTTCAGTGTTGTCAATAATTTCGAGAGCTACCAGTATTACTACCAACTCAGCTTGCATTGTGGATGCCCAGTTACTAATTCTTATATTCCTTTGAATTGTGCTGCCATCGGGCTGATTAGCAATAACAGCACTTCCTGTCAGTGTATATGGTCTGTGCGATGTTGTTTTTAGTTTGTATATTGTGAATGGTGCTATGGTGCTTAATTTAGCAGCAAGCTGAGCATGAGGGTTGTTTGTGATTAGTTTCTTGGTGGGATATGCAGGGGTCAGGATGTCAAAAGATATTATCTGCTCGAAGGCTATGGGATAGGTGGTCGGGCGTCTTAGCGAGCAGCATATCGGACATATATGCGCTCGGCTGCATGTTTGGCCTAGTAACAAAAGAAGTTAAAAAGATACTCATCAATGCTTACTTTTATTTATTTATTTATTTATATAAATGCATGTCGGTACATTTGATTTATGAGAGTACATAGCATTGATGATTTTACATTTTTGTAAAGCTACTAGTACGCATAGCGATTCGGGCAGGTCCTTAATCTAACAGACAATTTTAAATGGGTAATTTCTAGCAACATTTATGAAATATTAACAGGTACATTGTAAGAAAATTTGACAAAGATTAGTAGGCATATTAAAGTAAAATTTGAGGGTTATGAACAGGTATTGGTAGCATAATTTGAGGATTAATTCAAGGCATAATACAATATAATATGTGTTCAATGTAACAACCATGATATAAGATGATAGCAATGATTACAGTGGTAAAGTTGTATGGCTTAGGTACATACATTGGGGGATTGGGTAGCACTAGATACAGTGCGAGTTTAAAGAACTAGGTAAGAAACTATGAAGATGAAATTAGGTGCTTTTTGTTTTTGAATAAGGCAAAAGTTGGACGGCTTTCCAATATGTTAGGGAGTGAGTTCCATAGACTAGGTCTCTTTATTTGCATAGAGTGTTTACACAGATTAAGTTTGACTCTGAGGATATTAGAGACATTTATTTCTGATGTGGTGATTTTGGGTCCTATTACATCTGTCCAGGGGGAGTTTCAGAACACGGTTTGCATTTAAGAACGGGATTTTGTAAATTTAAATGGCACAAGAGAATGTTTGGACTGAGTTTATGTTTAGCATGTTTGGGAATTTAAACGGGGGAGGGGGGGTTGAGTGTTGTCTGAAAGCAGAGTTTGTTATTGTTCTGATAGCATATTTTTACTGGGTGATGATGGGCTTGAAGTAGTTTGCAGTGGTTGAATCTCATGCACAGATAACATATGTAAGATAGGGATAGATTGATGCATTGCATAGTGAGAGGAGAGCAGAGTTAGGTACATAATATCTGATTTTAGAGGGTATACCAACCATTTTAGAGACTTTCTTGGTTATGTGTTGTATGTGGGTGCTGAAGTTGAGTCTCTTGTCTAAGTATAGGCCAAGGAACTTTCCGTCATTTTTATTACTGATGTTAACATTGTCTATCTGAAGCTGAATTGAATTTGTTGATTTGCTTCCAAATAAGATGTAGTCGGTCGTTTCTATGTTTAGTGTTAATTTGTTGGTTGACATACATAAGTGGACTTATTTTAATTCATTATTTACAACATTTATTGTGTGTGGGTTGGGGTCTGAGTAGATGAGGGTAGTATCGTCAGCAAATAATATAGGTTTAAGAATGTTGAAGACATTTGGCAGATCATTGACGTATATAAGAAATAGGAAAGGTCCTAGGATGCTGCCCTGTGGCACTCCTACAGTTAATGACGTATTCATGTTTCTTGTTGGTTGCTTTGAATATGCCACTTGTGAGCCAGGGATTGTTTAGTTTTTTGTCAGTTACTTGCTTGGTGAGGAGGGGACAATGAGTGTTGTAGAGGCTTAGAGTTTTGGAAAGGAAGAGGTTCGCTAATGAATTTATATCCTGTGTATTATTGAATTCAGATTTCCGGTTAATGTTGTGAAATGCATTTGTGAGATTGCTTATTGCTGCTTCACTGTGTAACCTGAAGGTAAGTTTCTTGTTATCTGGTGGTGTTATGTCCATGCTTGCTATTAGGAAGGTAGGATAGTGGTCAAATGTTCTATCAGTTATTATACCAGATGCAAGGGGGTTGTTATGTTAGTCCATAAGTGATCCAAGGTAATAGGAGATGTTTGAGTGATTCGGGTGGGTCTGGTGATTGTGGGGGATTAGCAAACAGGAGTTCATGCTGTTTAGGAAATAGTCGAGTCTTACTCGTAATAGTCTGCTTACCAATATAATACGAAGAGCCAAAGCTTCTTTTTACGATAATAGATTTAAAGAAACAAAGGGAAATATGAAAAGTACATGGAAAGCCATCTCTAACATACTAGGGATCTAAACAACAATCACATAACAATCAGATACAACTCTCCAAAGATAGTCACACACTTGAAACAGACTTAGATATTGCAACTGAATTCAATAACTTCTTTTTATCAATTGGTGCTAACCTTGCCAGAAAAGTCCCAGAGACCCAAGCACATGTTACTAGATATTTCACAGGCAGTTATCCTAACTCTCTACTCCTTTCAGCCCGACAGACAATTATATCAATGAGATGCTTATAATTATATCAATCACTTGAAACCAAAACTGGGAACATTAATGAAATACCATCTATGATATATAAGAATGTTGCCCCCTGCTTGCCCCTTGCACTACCCATAGCTCTGCTATTCAACAAATCTCTAGAGTGTCATACTTTTCCTGATATCCTTAAAAAACAAGAGTGGCGACAGTTCATAAAGGAGGCCAGACAGCTGATATAAACAATTACTGACCAATATCAAATCTACCTATACTTTTACAAATATTTGAACGAATTATTTACAAACAGCTCTATTCCTACTTTATAAAACTCAACATATTAAATACCTGCTAGTTTGGCTTCTGTTCCCAAAAAAGTACCAATGATGCCGTTATTAGTCTGCTTAATATAATCTATACAGCCTTTGACAAAAACGAGTTCCCAATTGACCTCTTCATTGACCCGAGAAAGGCCTTTAATACTGTAAACCATTACTACCTCTTACTTAAACTTCATTACTATGGTATCCGAGGTCTTGCTCTGTTCTATATTTGTTCTTACCTCACTGACAGACACCAATATGTAACCATCAATAGCATAGCCTCCCCACTCTACCATTGAAGGTAAGGTGCCACAGGGCAGCATCTTGGGACCTCTCCTATTTCTTATATACGTCAATGATTTGCCAAATTTTTTTAACATTCTTAAACCTATATTATTTACTGACGCTACTACCTTCATCTATTCTGACCCCAACGCCCACACACTAAGTAATATTGTCAACATTTAATTACAAAAAGTCCATTCATGGGTGTCAACCAACAAACTTACACTATGCATAGAAAAGTTCTACATTTTATTTGGTGGAAAATCATCAAATCAGATTCAACTTCAGACAGACATAATTAACATTACCAATAAATATGAGGGAAAGTTCCTTGGCCTATACATAAACAAGAGACTCAACTTCAGTACCCACATAAAACATAGCCAAAAAAGGTCTCAAAAACTGTCGGTATACTCTCTAAAATCAGATATTTTGTTCCCCCACTCTGCTCTCCATTCATTATACTACACACTAATCTATCCAGATCTTACATACGGTATTTTGTACATGGGGTTCAACCACTGCAAATTATCTCAAGCCTATCATCACTCAGCAAACGTCTGCTATGAGAACTATAACAAACTCTGTTTTCAGACAACACACAGACCCTCTGTTTAAATCCCTTAACATGCTAAACATACACTCACTTCAAACATTTTCATGTGCTAATTAAATGTACAAAACCTTGTTCCTAAATGCTAATCTTGATCTGAGTCTTTTCCTTGATAAGTGTAATAGAACCCATGAGCACCACACCAGAAATAAATACATCTTTGATATCCCCAGTCAGACTAAATTTGTGCAGATACTCCATGCAAATACAAGGGCCCAGTCTTTTGAACTCACTCCCTGATGAAATAAAAATGTTCCAACATTTGTTCAAAAGTAAAACCAGAAAGTACCTAATTACATCCTCATAGTTTCCTTACCTTGTGCTTCAAACTCACACTGCTCTTGTACTACCCACTTCCCCAATATTAGTACTTAAGACTAATTAAATACTTCATTTCTACCAGTGTAATCACCTCCGTCAATTTATATTGATATAAAACCTTGCTACAATGTACTTCTTCACCTTACCTGCCCGAAACGCTATGCGTGCTAGTGGCTTTGCAAGAATATAAAAATATCACTAATGTAATCGCACCAATCCATTGTACCTTCTTGTAAATAAAATATTATTATTATTATTTTATTAATATTATTATTATTTTATTATTATTATCATTATTCAGCAACCGAGCGAACACTGCCTTGCTCCACAAAACGCGCAGGCAATGTGCAAGTCACAGCGTTTGAGTCTGCACGAAAAAATTAAATTACCTTCATTTTCGTCTCTATGAATCAACCACACTATGGCGATAAAAGTTTATTAATAAATGTGATCAATAATCAATTTAATTATAAGTTATATAAATTTGAATGTAAAATAAGGGTAATTACATTGGTGAAAGTTTTACCCTGGGTAAAATACGGATGGCAGAGCAACGGTCTTGCTTCATGCAGGTCTGCGTTCAATCCCCGACCGTCCAAGTGGTTTGGCACTTCCCCCCCCCCTCCCCCGACCCATCCCAAATCCTTATCCTGACCCCTTCCAAGTGTTTTATAGTCGTAATGGCTTGGCGCTTTCTCCTCATAATTCCATTCCATTCCAGGGTAAAATAACTAGTGATATTAACGTTGTAAGTTAACAATGCACCTTAACTTGTTGAATTATAATGAATTGAAGTTTAACATCGTAAGATTACCCTTGTATATTAAACTTGGTAAGTGTGATAAAGAGTGAATTTAATAATATGTATAACTTCCAGAGGGCAAGTCTAACAATGGGGGAATTTCATTGGTGAAAGTGCTACCTTAAGTAAATTAACACTGTAATGCAGTAACAATTTTGAGGTTAACACTGTATTGTTGGGAAGGGGGGGGGAGATCCGGTAAAACCCCCAAAACACCGGGCCACAGCGGGCCACGGCGAGCCACGGCGGGCCACAGCGGGCTACAGCGGGCCACAGCGGGCCACAGCGGGCCACGGCGGGCCACAGCGGGCCACAGCGAGCCACAGCGGGCCACGGCGGGCCACAGCGGGCTACAGCGGGCCACAGCGGGCCACAGCGGGCCACGGCGGGCTACAACGGGCCACGGCGAGCCACGGCGGGCCACAGCGGGCTACAGCGGGCCACAGCGGGCCACAGCGGGCCACAGCGGGCCACGGCGAGCCACGGCGGGCTACAGGGAGCCACGGCGGACCACGGCGGGCCACGTGCGCAAACATCTCACCCGGCCCAGAAATTGAACTCGGTATTGCTTGTTTTGTGGGCAAACAATATGAGAAGTTACAATACAATATAATACAATTCAATACAGTGTAATACAGAAAGTGTCTGATAAAGTGTACTTACCATCGTCACTGGCGGCCTGGTCCTCAGCTCTGGCCACCGTGGCCATGGCCACCACCAACGCCAACATCCACCACGCTCTCCTCCACATCTGGTCAAAGTAAGCCTCTAATTAAGATGCATATAGTGTAGATATATGAGTTAGTATTTTATTAACATTATTTTAGGTATTTTGGTTTTACATTTCGAGCCCAAGCGACCTCGCGAGGCCTCACTAATTGGTCCCGTGATCAGGACCAGACGAAACCATCTTTTAGAAGTGGTTGAGGCGGGATCATATCAGGCGGACGACAACTCTTATATATTCTTATGTTGTTTATATGAACAACCTGTGTATGTCCTATTTCCATCTTATGGGAAAAAACAGACATTCTCTCTTATAGTAAATTTAAATATATATATATATATATATATATATATATATATATATATATATATATATATATATATATATATATATATATATGCAGAATAACCACATGTGAAAAATAGAAAATGCTTAACGCGTTTTCGGCTAATTCGCCTTCATCAGAGCAAAGTAGAATGATTCTACTTTGCTCTGATGAAGGCGAATTAGCCGAAAACGCGTTAAGCATTTTCTATTTTTCACATGTGGTTATTCTGCATACTTGGATCAGTGTTTTTGTGATCATTGTTGCATATATATATATATATATATATATATATATATATATATATATATATATATATATATATATATATATATATATATATATATATATATATAAATTTACTATAAGAGAGAATGTCTGTTTTTTCTCATAAGATGGAAATAGGACGTACACAGGCTGGTAGGGGTAGGCCTGAGTTAAATGCTTTAATAAATATTAACCGTCATATAGACTCCCCCCCCCCCCACATTCGCTCCATGTCTGGTCTTATTGGTTTAATCGCAAGAATTTCCCGTATCGTGACAGATGAATAGTTGCAGACTAGTGTAGTTGCTGGTCATTAGTTTAGTTTAGATCATTTATTATGCACCCCATACCCATCCCGTGGGCGGTAGTGGAAAGGGTTACAGAGGCACATAATGGGCTCAGGGACTGAACCCCACAATTCATTTAGCTAAGCAAGTTACAATCTTGATGAGCTAGTTACAAAATTCAATATAAGTCGTCACATCAACAGTGGGTTCGAGATCGACCTCAAGTACAGTTTCTAAATTAAGCAACTGACATATGTGGAGAGCTAGTGTCAAAATTTATATGTTTGTCCTGCACACCGCCCCCCATCCAGTGGGCAGCGGTGGATAGGTTACAATCACTTAGTTACTACCTACAGTTAGCAAACTGAGGATATTTGGCTAAAATTTCTGATAGTAGATTATTTTGAATGAAATATTTACACATTGCTAGAACATTGGTTATAGAATTGTCTCTAAATTCACGTATCTTTTCGCACTCCATCACATAGTGACGGAGGGTGTGCGAATAATTTTGTTGACACAGTTTACATTTGGTCAGGTCTACATCAGCATATAATGAGAATTCCCAGAGATACTTGTAACCGAGTCTAAGCCGAGCAGTAGTAACATCTAGAAGTCTGCTGATTTTATTGGATGATCCATAGATGTGTGGCTCCTCTTGCATGATAGTATGATGATAGATGGAATTACTGGTGTCAATTTCACTTTGCCTCAGATCTGCTGGTCATTATAGTTACAGGTTAGTTGAGTTGCTGATGACAATACCTGCAGGTTACTGAAGGATCAGGTAAGTGTAGCTGTAAGTTAGTATAGCCTCAAGTTAGTAAAGTTTCATGTTAGTATAGCTGCAGCCTATGTTAGCTGTAGGTTAGTGTAATTTTAGATTAATATAGTTGTAGGTTAGTATAGCTGGAAGTTAGTACAACTTTAGGTTAGTGTAGCTACATATTAGTTTAGCTATATGTTAGTATAGCTATATGTTAGTGTAGCTCCAGGTTAGTGTAGTTGTACTCACCTAATTGTGCTTGCGGGGGTTGAGCTTTGGCTCTTTGGTCCCGCCTCTCAACTGTCAATCAACTGGTGTACAGATTCCTGAGCCTACTGGGCTCTATCATATCTACATTTGAAACTGTGTATGGAGTCAGCCTCCACCAAATCACTTCCTAGTGCATTCCATTTATTAACTACTCTGACACTGAAAAAATTCTTTCTAACGTCTCTGTGGCTCATCTGGGTACTAAGTTTCCACCTGTGTCCCCTTGTTCGTGTCCCACCCGTGCTGAAGAGTTTGTCTTTGTCTACCCTGTCAGTTCCCCTGAGAATTTTGTAGGTAGTTATCATGTCTCCCCTTACTCTTCTGTTTTCCAGGGATGTGAGGTTCAGCTCCTTTAGCCTTTCCTCGTAGCTCAATCCTCTCAGTTCCGGGACGAGCCTGGTGGCATACCGCTGAATCTTCTCTAACTTTGTCTTGTGTTTAACTAGGTATGGACTCCATGCTGGAGCTGCATACTCCAGGATTGGTCTTACATAAGTGGTATACAGGGTTCTGAAAGATTCCTTACACAAATTTCTGAAGGCAGTTCTTATGTTGGCCAGTCTAGCATATGCCGCTGATGATATTCTTTTGATGTGGGCCTCTGGGGACAGGTTCGGTGTGATATCAACCCCCCAGATCCTTCTCTCTATTTGACTCTTGCAGGATTTCCCCTCCCAGATGATACCTTGTGTTCAGCCTCCTGCTCCCTTCGCCTAATTTCATCACCTTACACTTTCCCGAATTGAACTTTAGCAGCCATTTTCTAGACCATTCCTCCAGTTTATCCAGGTCATCCTGTAGTCTCTCATAATTTTTCCATCATCAGCAAACATTGAGAGGAATGAGTCTATACCCTCCGGAAGATCGTTCACATATATTAGAAACAGGATGGGTCCAAGTACTGAGCCCTGTGGGACTCCGCTGGTGACATCTCGCCACTCTGATGTCTCCCCCCTCACCGTTACTCGCTGTTTCCTGTTGCTTAAGTACTCCCTTATCCACTGGAGCACCTTCCCTTTTACTCCTGCCTGTTGCTCCAACTTTTTTAACAGCCTTTTATGGGGTACTGTGCCAAAGGCTTTTTGGCAATCCAGGAAAATGCAGTCGGCCCACCCTTCTCTTTCCTGCCTAATTTTTGTTGCCTGGTCATAAAATTCTATTAAACCTGTGAGGCACGATTTACCATCCCTGAACCCATGTTGGTGGTGCGTTACAAAGTTATTTCCCTCCAGATTTCCCTTATTCCAGTTGAAGAACAAGTTGTGGATTAGTGCAGCTGCAGGTTAGGGTAATTGAAGGTTAGTGTAGCTGCAAGTCAGTGTAGCTGCCCGTGACAGCTGACTAACTCAAAGGTACCTATCTACTGCGGGTCTCATAGGTAACAGGAGCATTCAGGGTGAAAGAAACTTTGCCCATTTGTTTCTGCCTGGTGCGGGAATCGAACCCGCGCCACAGAATTACGAGTCCTGCGCGCTATCCACCAGGCTAGTGTAGCTGGAAATTAGTGTAGCTCTAGGTTACTGTAGATGCAAGTTAGTGTAGCTGTAGGTTACTGCAGATGCAAGTTGGTGTAGCGGCAGGTCAGTATAGTTGCAAGTTATTGTAGCGTAGGTTAATTTAGTTGAGATGTACCATAGACTGCAATGTACCATATGCTCAGATTACCATAGGATGAGCTGTACCACAAACTGAGATGCACAATTGATTGAGATGTACCTCAGACTGTGATGTACCACAGACTTTGATGTACAATTGATTGAGATGTACCTCAGTCTGTGATGTACCACAGTATGATATGCACCACAGACCTTAATGTACCACAAACAAATACGTTATGTTGTACCCTGCATTTGGGTCGTGTTGCATACCCTCACTGGGATTTTTTTCTATTTCGGAAAAGATTTTGATGCACAAAATTACAATAAATTTTATACAGAGCTGATAATTGAGCCAAACAAAATGAAGATTCTCTTCCGAAACTGCGAAACGTGGTTAAAAATGCGAGTTTGCATAAGATCCGGGAACATGGCTGAGAGTGCGGCAGTGGAGGGATGATCTTGGCCCCAACACACCCATGAGGCTACGGTGAAAGTAATAGCGACTGGTGTTACCGGTTGCCTCCCGGTACACCAACAGGAAGTAACGGTGACGCTAAACGCAACAGTAATCGGAAAAGGAAATAACTGTTACCTGGGGATGTCCGGGAGAGTGAGGTAATAACATCTGAGAACTGTATTAGGCTCCCCATGTGCGAATGGTACCTGTCATTGCGGCAGGTGAAGGTTCAATGGCTCTGTGGGGTAGAATATACCCACTATATAGTGGGTAGAATATAGTGGGCGCTCATTCACAGGTATTAGTAATAGTTAATGAAGAATGTCCATTATCAGGTTTATGGAAATCAAGAAACAGTTCAAGAAACAGGTTCGGTGTGATATCAACCCCCCAGATCCTTCTCTCTATTTGACTCTTGCAGGATTTCCCCTCCCAGATGATACCTTGTGTTCAGCCTCCTGCTCCCTTCGCCTAATTTCATCACCTTACACTTTCCCGAATTGAACTTTAGCAGCCATTTTCTAGACCATTCCTCCAGTTTATCCAGGTCATCCTGTAGTCTCTGTCTATCTTCATCCGTCTTGATTCTTCTCATAATTTTTGCATCATCAGCAAACATTGAGAGGAATGAGTCTATACCCTCCGGAAGATCGTTCACATATATTAGAAACAGGATGGGTCCAAGTACTGAGCCCTGTGGGACTCCGCTGGTGACATCTCGCCACTCTGATGTCTCCCCCCTCACCGTTACTCGCTGTTTCCTGTTGCTTAAGTACTCCCTTATCCACTGGAGCACCTTCCCTTTTACTCCTGCCTGTTGCTCCAACTTTTTTAACAGCCTTTTATGGGGTACTGTGCCAAAGGCTTTTTGGCAATCCAGGAAAATGCAGTCGGCCCACCCTTCTCTTTCCTGCCTAATTTTTGTTGCCTGGTCATAAAATTCTATTAAACCTGTGAGGCACGATTTACCATCCCTGAACCCATGTTGGTGGTGCGTTACAAAGTTATTTCCCTCCAGATTTCCCTTATTCCAGTTGAAGAACAAGTTGTGGAT